CAGTGCACTGGAGAAAGACCGTTGGCTTACCTGAACGGTCGTTCTCAGGGCACTGCGAGGTAAGTCCAAACCCACCCAGGGGTTTTTTCTTACAATCCGTGACTGTATTATTGACTGTGAACTCTTACCATATGATTGTCCTTTTGTTTTTAAACTGAACATAGAGAGGCAAAGGGAGGCATGGTCATGAAAAACATTACTCAGTCCAAGGGCAGATAGGCTGTGTTAACCCACGCTTGGACTCTCCTCACAGCGCCCTGAGAATGACTGTTCAAGTAAGCCAACGGTCTTTTTTGCAAGCCTTGTCTGGAGTCTCACTCTTTGGCATCTCAGTGGCTCGGGGAAAACTCCTGGAGCCTTACAATATGTTATCTAATCTGGTGATACAGCTTTCATTGCCTATGTAACACAAATAATCCCAAATTGCCTTTCCCAGGAGAGCTGGCATAGAATGCAAGGCTCATTTCTATAAGCCACAAATATTTATTAAGAAATCATATTATAGCTAACTTTGATGAAAAGAAACTGCATTTTCTAACATACTGAGTTGCAATATATTAGCAGTGAAAAAATGCATACACATTGTGAACAATAATGCTATAGTTCTGGGAGCATCACATGTAGTAGATAGTGTCTGTGTCTTAATAAATTGCAGTAAAATATAGTTGCCACATGCTAAATAAATTAATAAAGTGCAATATAGTAATAAGTAGTAAACTTGTTTGAATGTTAGATGTTCCAACAATGTAAACTAATAATTATTAGCAAGGCTACTTGCTCTCTATCTTTTATTGTTTTTAATATACTGTATATATTTGGGTTCTGCATCCTCAAAAGGAAAGTATCCCCCCCCCCCATTTTAAATTGAAAAATAAACTTGTTCAGTCTTGCTCCCTGTAGAAAGCTTGTCCAATTTTAATATCCGTGGAGTTAATGCTGACTAGATGAAGACTCCAATAAAATGTACCGTAGGTAATTCTTGGCTGATTTACATTATTCTACAATAGCTATTGATCTGGTGCAGCTAGGAATTAAGATAATTGTCTTGATTAATGATGTTCCATTTCCTAGAGAAATTAAAAACACTCCATTTTCTGGCCTCCAAAAGTGAGAAAGTCATTAGGTAATGAAAAATAAAGTGAATGTCAAATAAGTTACCAAAGGTACTCTTGTAGTTATCTAAATTTACAGAGTGCTTTTTCACTACGTAATCTGGTAGGAATATCAAAATTACATGTTCTTTTTAATCTGGTGCAACAGATCATTTGAATCTAATGATCTTGAAATATATAACTGCCGGATCTGCAACACTGCTTGGAAAGCAGAAGTCAGTACATGAGGCTCTACTCATTAAATTAGTGAGGTTATTGCCTTATTTTTATTTTCTCTGCTTGCAGTGTGTTCTGACCTTGTTATATACACCCATTCTCACATGTTAATTTATTCATCATTGGGTATTCTCTTACTACTTTTTTAACCAATTCCTCTTTGCTGGTAAGGATTAGGTTGAGAATACTCGAACCTCGTGTTCTTTCATCTACCTTCTGACAAATGAAGTTGTCAACAATAGGGAAGAAAAATTTCTTGGAACTTTGACTCTTGGCAGAGATAGATTCCCAGAAGATATAAACAAAAAATAGAATCCCTCATTATCACTGATGCACGTCTCTTTGAAAGTGAGGCATTTTATTTGCATCTTTTGACTGTCCAGGCAGTCTATAATAAACTATCACTTTAGTTTTTTCTCACATTTTACTTTTTCAATAAATCCCCACTTTCAACAACGTGTTATATACTCTGATTTTTTAATTTCTGATTCCCCCCCCCTTATATTCAGTGAACACTCCATTCCTTCTATTGCACCTTCTCCTTTTGAGTAAATTCTAACCTTCCAATACTATGTATCAATCATGATATGTATCATCCCATCATTTTAATTATATATGTCACATCATATTTATCTTCCTGAGAGAAGATAAATAGTCTATTTCTCCCTGCTTATGCTAATGCTTTGCTATTGAATTGCTTATGCTCCTGTCAAATTCGGAGTCCCTGTTCTGGCCTCCTGTTTCACCAATTGTATTCTGATTCTTTGGTCCCAATCTTTAACTGGATATTCAGTTTTTAGTTTTGCCACCCTCCATCTTTTATTCTAGTTTAGTGCCTTGATGTGAGTAATAAAGCATCTGGCAAACATTTTCTTCCCAGGCCCTATAATGCAACCCCTTATTGCAACCCCATCTATGTAGCCAATAACTGATAGCTATGATTCTGTTTTCTCTTCTTATACTTTTACCCCCAGCTAAAATAACTGATACAAAATTACCTCTTTTATTTATTATTTAAATTTTTAAATTTTAAATATTTTAACTCAAGACAGTGAATGTACATAATACTCCTTCCTCGTCTTTCCCCCACAACAACAACCTTGTGAGGTAAATTGAGCTGAGAGAGAGTGACTGCCCTGTCACCCAGCTGGCTTTCATGTCCAAGACAGGATTAAAACTCACAATCTCCTGGTTTCTACTATAGGCCAGCATTTTCACCATTACTTCAAACTGGCTTTTCTCAGTTTACTATCTTTCTATCCAAGACATCATAGTTTACAGAGATTCTTCTTATTCACTCTTCTGTATATTTTCTGATTGCTCAAAAATGCCATGGTTTAAAACTAATGGTTTATATCAAGTGTTGAAAAAAGGTGAAGCCATTTTTCTCCTTGAAAGTCCTAAAGACCAGGATATGGAAGGCACAGTCAGATGTATCCCTGCAAATGGGGAAACAGATTAAAATTGCCATAAACTTCATCATGAAAAAACAGAGAAAGACCAAAATGTTAAATAATTACATAAATGAACAAGGCTCATCAGTCAAACACTGTTGATGTTACAGGATCAGAGAAATCTAGAACTGCATTTGAATACATCCTTGTGTCCATGTGCTCTTAGTAAGTAATTTAGCCCTTGGTTTCACTTGCTTTACCAAAGGTCATCTGAATTCTTCATGTTGCCTCTCAAAAGGAGGCATCTACAGAAAGAAAAGAAGAGAGCAGACTAAGAAGCTGAGCCATCTATATGGTAAACTCTGCTAATCATTCTGATATCTATGTGGCTTCTCTTTCCACAGTGATGTAACTTTTCTGGTTGGCAAAGAGAAGCAGAAAGTTTTTGCACATCGCTGTCTACTCTCCACCCGCTGTCAAGTTCTACATGCAATGCTAAGCCAGCCCAATGACACACAGGTTCCGCTGATCTTGAATCACATGCAACCAGAAGTGTTCCTTACAGTCATTGAGTACCTGTACACCAATGGTGTCACTCTCAACAATCTTACTGTAAGTATAACGTATATTACTTGGTGGGTTGGGCTTCCAGGGAAATGGATGTAAAAATAATTAAAATTAGTAACAGGATTTTTAATTTGTTTGTATGATGAAATTGAAATTTTATCAGCTTTTTAGTGACATATGAAAGCATTCGGGGTCCCCCCCCCCCATCTTTTCCTGATTTTGATTGATTTTGCAGTTTGGAAATCTGTTCCTATTATATAGTCTTTTCTAATTGTGAATTTGCTGTTTTTGTAGTCTTTTAATTTTTTTTTAGCAAGAACCACCTTTAGTATAGAATTTTCCAGTAGTACAGTGAAGTGTGCAGTAAACAGATGATAATGAAAAATTAATGTGAAGATGATAATTTTAAAAAGGCCCTGGTGAATTAGTGGCCTAGAAAAAATCAGCTAGATATCCAAGTGGGTGACTGATCAATAAACTCTCTTAATCCACAGATCTGACAGCTAATACAGCTGTTGCATGGCTCAGTGCACTAAGATTCTAGATGGGTCCAGATGGCACTTGTAATGTGCAACATGTATGATTCATTACCATATTTTCTCTGAACACGAAGAGAATCTTTTCTCATTTTAGTCATCAGCCAAATTTTATATTTCTCTTATTTTTTCCTCCTAATGGAAATTATGCACTTAGACTCCCCTGATTTGCCATTTTACACATCTGCATGCTCAGCATTTTTAGTATTTACTCTTGCTTTTGCTTCTACGTGGTTATATTTTTCAGGTCAAGACTTTCAAAATACAAATTTATCACCTCATATCTACTTACCTTTTCTCATTGGCTGTCCGTGTCTAACACCCCGCCCCCACAAAAAAAGAAAATTCTGTTATATGTGTGGCAAGTAACACAATCTATCCGCAATTAGTATTTTTTTTAACTTAAAAAAAGTTCACGTGAATTGTAGAACCTTGAATTCTAAAATCCTATCACCACTGCAGTATAGAGAACCTGGTTGAAGATGGGAAAGAAGGATGCTTGTGCAGGAATGTTGGCTTAAGCAACTACTCTGAATAGCTTCCAGATAATAAGTCTTATTGCTTAGCTTTTTGCTAATTTAATGTTGTTGGCAGCCACCCCAAAATCACTGGCACAGTTCTGATATAAGAAAGCAGTAAAACAATTTTTGAATAACGTTTCAAAACTACACTCAATATATAAGGCTGTCTTTTCCTTTACTAGCATGGAGAGATACAGAGAATTAGACATTATTATATTGGTGAATCTGAAATTCCTTATTAACCTGGCATTTAATTAATAATATTTAGTCTCTATTTGTACTGTGTAATTTCAGAAATGCAACAACTTTATCTTTCCCATTATCAGTTGTGTCATTTGGGAAGCCCACTTTTATGGAGTATTTTTCTGCAATATAAGATCCTTTTTGGTTGAAGATGACCAGCCATAAGGGCCATGGAATTGATGTTGGGTTTGGAGGTAGATATTGCCTTTGTTTTGTAACTTGTCTGTTTTTCCCCTCACTTGAGTTGTGAGCCGCCCTGAGTCCCTTTCAGGGAAAAGGGCGGCATACAAATAAAGCAAAATGAAATGAAATGAAATGAAAATATTGTTTTTACATGTGTGGAGGATATGATATCAGATTCCTTATTTTGGATGTCTCTTTCTGCTGTTGTTAATAGCGGTTAGTTTCACTTATTGGAAACAAAAAGGTACATTTTCCCACATTATTTCAATGTACACCAATTCTCTTTACAGAGTTTTTTTTAAATCTCCAATTTCCTTCCCTTGGTTTTTGATATCTACAAGAATCTTCAGAGTGAGTTGTCCATAATTACAGAATGCAATCATTAGTATGCACTTCTGAAATCACCAAGGCCCTAGAAATTCAAATATTCTTTCACAAACCAGAAAATAAAGTATATCATTAAATCTTCATCTTCCATTTTTTCTGTTTACTAGAGGAGATGAATGAATATGCAAATTAAAATCTGCAGATGTTATCTTAAAATAGAGATGGGCAATTTATGTCTGATTATATTTTGTTGAGGTACAGCTGCCATCAAGCCAGCATATTAATTGCTCAGGAATGATGAAAGTTGCAGGTTTCTTTCCCTTCCTTTAAAAAATGATCAAACAGTTAAAAAGAATGCATAGTGGGCAGAGATAATGTCTCCCAACAATCCTGAAGGTATCAGTCTGAATAATTTGTGATTCTGTTAACAATGGACAACATTTCTGAAAAGATCAAAATACACTGAAAAGACTCAAAACATAATGAAATCACATATAAACTTTTCATACTGCTGGAAAGTAAGAAAATAAAAAGTTTAGGTACATTTTATAAATATAAAGCATGTGGCTAATATTTGCCTTATTCATTTTATCTGCAGGTCCTTGAGGTTTTGACTTCATCCATTGAGTATGGGTTAAATGACCTCAGAAAGGTAAGGATTTCACATTGCAGTTTATGAATCCTGATCTAGGATTTTATAATTATGGAAGTATGTGCTATGTAGTTAGTGGTATATATTGCAAGCAGTAGATTCTGGCTTATTTGATTCAAAGATTACAAGATTTATATCCTTATATTACTTTAGACACTTTGCTATTCTAGATTGGACTACAGATCATTTAACCCAAATTCTTGAGATCCCTGCCTATGTAGAAGTCATATACTGTTTATATATGTACAATGACAATAAAAGTAAAGTCTAAAATGGTAAGACTTTCTACCATTCCTCACTATAAAAGAGAAACCTTGTCAGTACAGTATTGATATTGGCAGGACAGAACTACATATTGATTCTGTCCCTAATCAAAATGTTCTGTCCTGCTCCTTTTCTCCCTTAGTTTTATCTGTTATCAAGGTGTGCTGTCCTGCTATTTTCTTCCTGAAAGCCTAAGAAAATATTAAGTACATTATTATAGTTTTGTAAGTGGATTGGCAGAAAGAAAATAATTATAGCAGGTACTACCAGTAGAAAAGCAAGCTGATTTAATTAAATAAGAGCTTTTCCCCACTTGAACCCAGTCGTGACAAAAACCTGTCCTGGGAAGATTTTTGTTTTCTCTCCTGATTGAGTTTTATCAACTCAGGTTTGATTCTGGTAGTAAGAGTCCTGTCCTCTTCATCTTTTATCGCCAGAGCATTGAGTGGAGCAACCTTAAGTTATCTTTAGCACAGTGGGTGGGCTGTATATTCTAATCTAGCACCTTCCAAGAACACTCTCAAATCATCCAAAGAGAGGCTTTGCCACTTGTTATCTCAAGGAGGTCAGATGATCCCGTGACTTGAAAAAGAGGTAATCTGAGCCGGACATGGCAGTGGGCATTTCACAAGGTTATCCTTTTCTGCAAGCTAAGAGATGGATGATAGCACTTCTACTCAGCAGTGGGGAAAGGCCTCTTATTAAATGGAAGCCAAGTAAAGACTGTATTTAGAGGAAGGTTTTGTAGAAAAATTATCATAGATATGGTATATTAAGCAGAAATGTAAGATCTAATGGTGAAGTTTAAGCTGGCCCTTCATTATATATTGATTTTTCATTAATTGGCATTTACATACCATTTGTTAAAAGTCCCAATACCTCTGACTTTAATAATGAATTGAAGTTTTGTATGTTAAAAATATATTGCTTTTGTCATTGATATCAAGAAACCCGGGGAACAATAGGGATTCCTATTATCTAAATGAAAATTAGAAATTCTACTTTGGAAACTGATAATCCTCTATATATGTGGCCACACACAAATTAACTGCCGGTGACTTGGAGGAAGAAGCACATATTGGGTACTTCCAGATTTACATCAGTTATATAAACACAACAGCAAATGTCACATTGTTGGTGGCACCCCTGAGCTTTGGCACGGCAGGTGCTTTGAACACAGGAATTGCTGTTCTCATGACTTAATTAACATCTGTCCTATTTAGACAAATCTAATTTGGATAATTCCTATTATGTGAAGGCTTTCTGTCTCCATTTGGTTTGCTTCTATTTTGGACAAAAATCCATGTTTTCCCTCCAAGTGTTTAGTTCTAGAGCTTCTTTCTTTAAACCCTCAGCTACATTTAGCCAGTTTCCTGACAAATTGACAATCGGCCTTCTTTTCAGAGGTGGGTTTCTGCCAGTTTGTCCCATATCAGGCGAACCAGTAGTGGCGGTGGTGGGAGGCACATGTGCACACAAGCAAATGGGAAGTAAAATAAATTGAAACCCACCACTGCTTTTTTCCTTTTCCTTTCTCTTTTTTCTTTCCCACGTTTACACAATTCCAGTTATAACATTTATATTTACTGGAATTGTGATTATTTTGTTTGGTCAAACCTATTGAATCATGTGTAGTGATGAAATATAGTCCATATGAGTTAGTCATCTCTTTGATCTTCCACTTCCACCCTATTGGAATCCCCCCCTATTAAATTAGCATCTAATATCAGAGGTAAGTGGCTCACTGGCTAAGACGCTGAGCTTGTTGATCAGGTCGGTAGTTCAGCAGTTCAAATCCCTAATGCCATGTAACGGAATGAGCTGCCATTACTTATCCCAGCTTCTGCCAACCTAGCAGTTTGAAAGCAGATAAAAATGCAAGTAGAAAAATAGTAATCACCTTTGGAAGGTAACAGCGTTCCGTGCACCTTCAGCATTCAGTCATGCCAGCCACATGACCATGGAGGCATCTTCGGACAGCGTTGGCTCTTCGGCTTTGAAACAGAGATGAGCTCCGCCCCCTAGAGTCGGGAACGACTAGCACATATGTGCGAGGGGAACCTTTATCTTTTATCAGAAGTTTAGACTTTCCTGGGTAATCTGAAGGAAGCTCTAAGTGCTGGCCTTTTCTTAGAAACTGCTTAATCTCCTTCATAACAGTTGTTGTGGTTTGCTTTGAATATTTTACAGTGTTCTATGTTTGGTTCTTTTCCATTCTAAGCATCATTTTCAGTAGACCAGACAAAGGTCAGTTCGGCTATGGTTACAAACATTGAGTGTTATTGTTTCTCATTTTAACCCACAGAAAAAGATATGATCTCCCCCCACCTCCCTGTATAGGGCAAGTTCAGAAGAAAACAGTTATGCTGTACATCATGATACTAGGTGGGATGCTACTGCACAGCAAGAATGGGAGGTTTTGTTTTTTTGCCAAATCATACGCTGGCTGGGTATTCACAAATAGTATCAGTTTTAATTTGTTGGTGTTCACTCACTGGGTGTTGTACAAGTGGAATAGTGCTTGTTCTCAATTGACCCAATTGTCTAGTTGGGGCGGGGGGGGGGCAGTCTTTCTTATATTAATCTCATTGTGCTTTTTCTCATCTTGTGCCAGTTCTTTGGAATTAGGTTCCATCAGTTCTATGGCTTGTGTTTGAGCTGTCAGATTTTAAAAAGATACTAGTATTAAAAAAGTTTCTTTCTTATGGGCTTTCTTATGGGTTAATCTGCTTTAAGTATTACTTTTATGCAGCAAGATATTAAGCATTTAATGATGTTTTAATGGTTATTTTAAATCATATGGACCCCTCAGATGACTGGGGCTTATATAAGTGTGATTTTAAATTGGATGGTAGTAAGATTGCGCTTTTTGATATTATGTTTTACTGTTTTGTTATGTTACAGGGAACAAAGTTGATGCATCTGTATAACTAGTTATAGATGCATTTTTATGAAAAATGAACATATACTGGCAATATAACTACTACTGCAGGAGGGAAAGAAGAAACCAGTATTAATTCATGCCCTCATTTGAAAAAAGTTGGTGATCCAAAAATAGCCTTATGCGACCATCAGGAGTTTCCCAATTGATACAAATACCTTAGAATGTGGAAGTAGCAGGAAACTACAATTGGATGAGCACATCTATACAACACAAGACAGCTCACAAAGACGACTAAGAAGGAATTAATGTCATGACCCTGGCAATTAGGAGGAAGTATTGAATCTAAAATGTGGAAAATCTTGGCAATTTAACAAAAGAAAAAAAAGATTTAGAAAATACGATGGTACGAATTTGAAGATTTTACACAATATCGTAATGCAGATATTTTTTTAAATTGTGAGGGAACAGAAAAATTGGAATAATAGTATCTGCAACAAGGAGAGAGAAAAGTAGAATTAGATAATTGTAAAGATCACAGGACAAGAGCCATGTTGGTTTGTGGTAGCCAAAATCAGAAGAAGTCTGATGCCATCTTTTCAGGCAAACCAATTTTATTAAAAGGCATCAGCTTTTGTGAACCACAGCAGAAATGAATAGCTAAAAAGAAGTAGAATTTAAACTGGAATGATAGAGGGGTAAAGGAGGAAGAAGACAGTGTGGTTATGCCTATGCGAGTTATTGGTGAATCAGATTGTAAATACCTTATAAATTAACAATTGTAATTTAATTGTTAAAACTTTCTGTGTTTGTCCAGATTTTCTAAGAAAGCCTAAACCATTTCATGTATAGGAGTTCAGCAGCCTATTGTTGAATATTATTGGTGAAGTTTTTTTGTTCCATTATAGTTGTTCTGAGATCTGTAATGGAGCATCTGGAGAGATTAAAATGCTTTGCTAGTATTTTATCTTTGTTCTGAGTTCTGATGTCAAACTTGGGTTTACCTATTAATTCGTTTATGCAAACTCTGGCATGTTTGTCAATTGTATCAAGTTAAATCCTATATCATTTTAGGATACTCCTTGTATCTGATAAAGTGAGCACTTTAAATACTTTTATGCTAAAATACATTATTAGACTACTCTCTAATTGTAAATGTGTCCAGAAGTGGCCCACTCTAGTTCCAGGATATCTCATATGTATACTTTTCAAAAATGTTGTTTCTTAAAGTTCAATTTGTTTCTATTATAGTTTTTAAAATATCCATACTGATACCGGGGAGCAACTACCACCCTGCAGCTTTATTACCTCTTTCTGATTCAACCTTTCCAGTTTACACCCCCCCCTTCCCAGAGTTAAATAAACAAGATCTGAAATATTTGTACAGTCTGTTTAATTCCACAGGGATTGAAGTTTCCCAGAAACTCCAACTCTGTCTCATTTTGTATAGATTCAGCATTTTGTCACTGCATAAGTAAGCGAATGCTTATCTGAAGATAAGTGAATATACTTTGGCAGGACAATATAGTGTTTCTAAATGTAAAAGAACAAATTGAGGACACATTGATTTTTTTAAACTACCAGTTTAATAAAAATGGGAGTAGCGTGATACCAACAGTTGGTCCTGTTGTTGATTATTGCTGAGTGCTTTGGAAAGGACACGAGAAACAGGTTTGGGGTTTATTGTAATCAAATACTTCAATTGCTCTTCAACAGAAAGAAGACCGGCCAGTCAAATAAAATATTATACATTAAATAAATCACAAGAGCCAGCACTGAAGTATTAATCAATTATCAGTCACATTTAAAGGCCATAATTTTATTAGGCAAAAAAAAAAATCCTTGCCAGCTAATT